TCCTCCAAGGGGTCAGGCGGCACCAGCCCAAGCTGTCCTTTTTCATTAAAAAAAAGAAAAAAAGAAACAGCCCAGTTCTACAGGGTAGAATTCTTATTTTTAGAGGGAAATACAATTGGCTGCATGTCTGTTGTCATGGGAGGGGGGGGGAATCTCTCCATGTCCAGACATCACTTACAAAAGAAGCTAAGACCTCCTGCAGCCCAGTGTCTGATGTCATTCCCACAGGGTAAAATTCTTATTTTTAGAAGGAAATACAATTGGCTGCATGTCTGTTGTCATGGGAGGGGGGGGGAATCTCTCCATGTCCAGACATCACTTACAAAAGAAGCTAAGACCTCCTGGGGGAGACCCGGCTTAGATCGCCAAAGCATTTTCTCGGTGATACTGAACGGGACATCTTGTGCCTGTTTGCATTTGAGTTTCAGGGACCTGTTGCAGCTTCATTTCCTTTGCACAGACACCTCTCTTTCCAAAGACTGCCTCCCACAAATAATATTGGCCGTGGGAGAAAGGCATCTTGATAAAACCGCTGGAAACCTTCATTTATAGTCCCCTTGCTTAAATGGCCTGTGTGCTGAACCATGGAATAAGAAATACTGTACAGGAGCATATTTGGGGAGCTTGGTTAATCTCCAGGACACTTAAGAACCCCTCTGAGGTATGGACTTTGGATCAGAGCTATGCCACAGGCCTGTAGATTCAGATTCTACTTTTAACAACCTGGTTGACCCTTCCGAAACTAACCAAGAATTCCAGCTTGGCCGCTTACCACACTTTCCGGTTTAAGCATTCCTACGATATCTCCAGAACACTTAAGATCCCCTCTGAGGTATCGACTTTGGATCAGAGCTATGCCACAGGCCTGGAGATTCAGATGCCACTTTTAACAACCTGGTTCAACCTTCCGAAACTAACCAAGAATTCCAGCTTGGCCGCTTACCACGCTTTCCGGTTTAAGCATCCCTACGATTCTCTACGCTGAAGAGCAGCACCTCTGGGGAGGGGGGCAAGCGAAAATCTCCCACCTGTGGGTCACAGGCTTCATGTTTCAGGCCAAAGAGATTTCAGGCTTCACGAAGAATCACTAGGGAAGCAGGAGGAGAAGACAAAATGATTATCCGAACAGAACGGGCTTGGAAACCGTCATAAATATTTATGAACTGGAGGAGCAAACATGTCTCTCGTTCTAAACCCACTTCATCTGCCTGCCCCGAGGACAGGCCACCTTAAGGAAAACTCATTCATTCATTCCTTCCTTCATTGTGATCATGAGGGCTTGACTCCAAAGTTTGGGGATTTTTGATCCTTGGGCCAATCCTATGCAACAGCAGGGCTGAGAAAGAAATAAGATGGGCAATGTAGCCATAATGATCGTCACCCTAACAGCACAGCTCTATAAGGCAGGCTAACCTCCTCTCGCAGGGAGGCTGTAAAGCTAGGTCAACTTATAGGAAATTACCGTATTTTTCGCACCATAAGATGCACTTTTTTCCTACAAAACAGGGGGGTGGAAAGTCTGTGCGTCTTATCTTATGAAGAAAACAGATTATATTTTCCTGTTTTCTTCTCCTAAAAATTGGTCAGGCAGGCTAACCTCCTCTCGTAGGGAGGCTGTAAAGCTAGGTCAACTTGCAGGAAATTAATAAAAACAGGCGCTCTGGCGGGCCAATCTCTCCGCCTGACCGACCCCACAGGGCTCTTGTGAAGACAAAACAACTTGGTGGAAAAGAAGTGTAGTAAGAACAATACCAAGGCTTTGACAGGCACTCTGGCGCTCTGGCGGGCCAATCTCTCTGCCTGACCGACCCCCACAGGGCTCTTGTGAAGACAAAACAACTTGGTGGAAAAGAAGTGTAGTAAGAACAATACCAAGCCTTTGGTGGGTTCCTCCAAACCCACTGAATAGGTAAATAAAGATCATAATGAAGCTTCTGGGGCCGGGGGGGGGGACGACAGTGTCTCCCATCGATGAGCCCTACCTCGCTGGGCTGTTGTGCCAAGCGAGGCCAACCTGGGTCAACACGAATGCGAACCCCGGATCTCTTTGAGGGGCCGGGGGTCCCCTCGACTTTCGTCCCCACCGAGCCTGCCTTGCAGGGGTGTTGCAACGAGAGCCCTCCTGGAGCCACCGTAACTGTAATTAACAGTCACGGTAAGAATAATAAGAGCAGCTGGAGTGGTGGCCGGAGTCCTAGTAACAGGCGTAAACAATGAGTATTTATTTATTTATT